TTATCATTTCTATAACATTATTACTACTACTGTTACTACTAATAAAACAGATCTCTGGGGGCCCCAAAAGGGCCCTTAGAATCGTCCTAACTTTCCCCCCCTTAGCAGCGCCCCTGCACACTGCTATCAAAGATCACAGCAGTTCAAAGGCCGAGCATGAAAAATCATCCCCAAATAATAAATAAATAAATGAACTTTTTACTAAAAGCACCGTTCAGATTAATTAGCAGAACACAGATGCTGGATGGCAGACAGATAAAGAAACTTAGCTGTTTATGTTCTCTGCCTTTAATGTTGGTTGAAAATGGACTGATTCATGCTCACTATTATGTTGATAGTGACCAGCACAAACGCAGCTCACTCCCCAGACCCTTGTTAGCATACAGGCTTTTTCATTGCTGAAAGTGAGCGGCAAAGACAAGGGGCTTGAGTGAGGGATCAAAAGGCTGTGCGTGTGCTTGGTGCCATTTATAGTGAGACAAAGCGCTGTGGAAGACTGGCTTTGTAGGCAGCCACACAAAGACTTCATATGCTCATCAAAATATTTTCAGACGGGCAACCCTGAATAACAGTGCAGGTGTTATTGTGGGGCATTGCACTTTTGAGTATCTGCTGGTTTAAAGAAAGTCCCATGTTCAGTAAACTCCCCGTGGAGTGCATGGTGGTTAGTCTGCTTTTCTACTGTTTGAAGGTGTCTCACTATGTGTGGCTCTGTGTTTCTGTGAAAAATAGAGATGGTATCTGAATAATTTAATATGACTGGGTGCAACGACAGACCTCACCCCCTTCCTGGTGACATGGAAAATCTTACTCAAATCTAGGCAAATGACCGATACTGAACTGACTGGAGCTACAGTCAGCTTGGAGTAATAGCTAAACTCTAACTAAATGTTGCCATCACAAACCATGCACAAAACACACTTCAAATAACATACTACCTTTCAAATAATTGACTGTTGAGAACAATGCAGTCAATAAAGCCAGAGCTTGATTGCAAAACAAGTCATTTAACGAAACAAAAACACACCATCACATGCAAAATTGAAAAAATAAATCAATGAATAAAGCGATGAAAAGCCACTGCTTGAAAACTGCCAATAGAAATGGTCAGACAATAATAAGACATTAGAAATCTGCTTTTATGTCCATCAGAATTGTGTAATGTAGCTAAAAATTAGTTTTACAAGGCTTCAAGTTTACTTTTTCACCCAAAAAAATGTAACTTCTGACAAAATTTACTGACCCTCAAGTTATTCCAAACCAATATGGCTTTATTTCTTCTGTGGAACACCAAAGGAGACCCTCAGCAGGGGCGGACTTACCCATTAGGCAAAGGTCGGCAACCGCCTTGGGCCCCCAAAAGCCAAGGGCCCCCTATAATGCTTTTCATATCCGAGATTTGCATTAAGCATGCGAACGATTGCTGTTTATGGTGTTTATTACCATGACAACCGTCTGCATGTCCGCGTTGAACGTGTTTCTTGTGTATCCTGCTTGTAGCAAATGAAAATACTATGGATCTGAAGCTGTAATTAAATATTGAGCAACAGTGCATGTTTTCTGTTTAAATGCCGCTTACTCATTTATTGGAAGGACCCAAGTAGAGGATGCATGCTCAGTTGCTTTTTTGGTTGATATAATCCTTAGGTGTGTAAATGTATAATTTCATTTTCATTCTTTTTTCAGTTTCATTTAAATTTATAGTTAAAATAACTAAAAAATAAATGTATTTTAAAGTTTAGAATTAGACAGACTTTGCGTAGGCATGGCCGTAACCAGGGTTTGAAAGTTAGTGAGGTCTGGGGTGGGGTTAAGAATTGTGCTATAATAACCCCTACAAATACAATTCATTACTAAACACTTTAAAAGAGACAGACATGTAGATGTTTGTGAAAGATGTTTTCTCTGTTTTGGGAGAGATGAACATTGATAAATTATACCATATTTATTACATCAAAATTTGTTAATACTTTACTATAGGTTAGGGGTGGATAATTTTATCAGATGTTTATCATTTATGCAACAATATATATTACTGTTATAGTTTTCATTAATAACCATTGCTATATAGATGATAACTTTGGTTTTATCATGGTTTTTTTTTTTTGCGTTTTCCTTACCGAATGTGGAATCATGTCAGCAATAACCTGTCCGTGGGCTTTTTGATTACTGTCAGTTTAAGCGCCGGCGATCAGTGTTGCTAGATATTGCTATGAAAATGAATAAAAACCGAAAAATAAATAAAAAATAAACTGAAATTAGTTCAAATCATTTGCAAATAAGATAAGATAAAAATATTGCTAACCCTAAACTGCAACTTCCCATTTTATTAACTTTCTAAAGTGTCAAATTAAGTGGAAAAGACAAGTCCAAAGACGCTTATAATAGTTGGATCTGGCAACACTGCGTCCGCGCCCTCTCTCACAACTCAAGCCTCATTCACTCCGAGATCATTTTCATATCACGGATGCTTAAACATTCTTGCAAACTGTCTAAACTGAATTATACATGCAGACACTCATATGAGGAGTTTTAAACAGCAAATTAGTCATTCAGAGAACAATTTTTTTATTTTTGAACATGAAAAATTTACCGA